ACTCCAGGCCCATCAAGCCTCGAAGGATCAAACCTCGAGCATCCTACGCCCTAGCATTGCTCTAGGCCCACCAAGCCTCGAGTGCCCTAAGCCCTGGCATAGCTCAAGACCTATCGAGCCTCGAGGGACCAACTCTCGAGTACCCTAAGCCCTGGCATCGCCCCAGGCCCAGCCAGCCTCGAGGAGCTAACCTTTGAGCACCTCAAGCTTTGGTGTTACGCCAGGCAATTTGACTTTGAAGGATGGGAGCCCTAGGTGGCTCGCCATCAGGGGATTACATATAGCACGAAATGAAGGTAGGGTCTTCACGGCTATAAGGAATCTATGTTTAGGAAACTTATGAGGATCTTGGATTGGTGGATGAGAAGTCATGAGGTGCCTCCATTCTCAGCAAGGCCCAGTTAACAAGATGATGTGATTATACATATTATGACAGCAAACCTTAAAATCACATTTAATGCTGTGTCAGGCTTGATCAACCAACGGCCAAGCAACATTGAATGCCCTTGATTAAGGGAGAAGTGAAATGGCAATGTAGCACAAGGCTTGATAAGAGGATTAGACTCTTCAGACTCTTAAATCTCCAAGATTACCCACGTAATCTAGATTGGGAGTAATGCATGCGAGGAACCATGCACGGAAGGGACCATTGGATAATAACCAATGGAATCCGAGCCTATAAATAGTACTGTCCTATGAATGAATAACTAACTCAGAAGGGGAAGCTGTCATAAGATACTATATACTTACCCTACCACCATCTCAATCTTGATGATTGGTCTTCTTCTCCTCCTCCTACACTAAGCATCTCCTCTGTTTCCTTTGTATTTGTATTCTTGATATCACTATTGTATATTTATTTACTGTTTGATCAAAAAGGGACCCCTACATAATTACTGGTAACTTAGTTTTATCTATTACTCGCACCATTTCATTATAGTATGAATAATATAAAAGACGCAAGTGGGATTTAGATTGTAACCCTTTTTTATTTTTTTTCATATATGGTGGGAAGCTACAAATTTAATTTATTCCCAAATATATATTAATTATTATTATTATGCACTCCTAATTGTACATATATTAATTATTATACAATTATAATTGTCTTTAATATTATGAAAACTTTACATATTTTGAACTTATTGATTCCTAACCTAAGTCACACAAAGAGGGGAGCAAGTTCGAGAGTGATTTTTTTATTTATTTAAATTCATATGCAAATATATCTATTATTATGTATTCAATTAACTTTTCTCATTAATAAATATGTGTTTTATTTGTAATATTCTTTTGATTGGGAAATTTTTTTAGTGACAAATTTTCAAACATATATTATACATACACATTAGTGTTCAATTGCTCACTGGGAGTAGAAAATTATATACTCACTTTTAATTGTAGCCTTAGGATCTAATCCTACGGCAATTAGTTAATTGACTTTTATTTTCTTTATTTTAAGAAACTTACATTTTCTTTCCATACAATTAAATATCGTTAAAGAAAAATGACAGAATTAGATAATTTATTAAAGGAAACAAAAATAAAATAATTAGGCTACTTTCTGTGTCGATTTCTCGGTCCAGTAAAAAATTACTTCTCCATCACTACCGATTGTTTAGTCAACAAAGTTTATTCAACAAATTTACAAGCAGCAACAGAAACCAAATAAAATTAATTAAAAGAGATAAATAAAATGGCCATTAAATAAAGATTGCTCGAGAATTATTGATTATAATCAAAACTCAAATTTCAAGATTGATCCATGTTTTGTACTCAACTTAAAAATATATTTTTAATTTGTTCAGCAACTAATTTAGAATTAGGAGTCTACTATTGGCTTCATAAATTTTTAGAAAGGTCCTACAAAACAACTTTTAATATATTAATATATATCCATCTAAATGTTCTCAGTTGGTAAATTAAATGTTTAAAGTGTTAATCGGTAAAAGCATGCCAAAATATGTATAATATCATTGCAAATCTTAAGTTTTTTCATAATTTATCAATAGAATTTGATAAACTGTGGAAAAAACTAAAAATGATATACTTTTAATTTTAGATTAATTTTACTTCGTCTCAGTGGCTGCTTCCGAATTTGGCAAAAAGTAGCCAAATTTTTTTATTCTTGTTTCCTTTAATAAATTATCTAATTCTGTTTGTTAGGCGCTGAATGTTATATATTTTAGCCCCTCTATTCGTATGTTTTATTCTCTTAATAATAGTTTATTTGTGATTTTATATTGTTTTATTGTTTTTATTTATTTCAGGGCTTTAATTGTAAAATCAGTGAACACCAGTAATTCTGAGCTTTACAAGATGACTTTTCGTGGGACCGAGCAATGTTGAAGATCCAAGTCTAATTATACTTAGAAAATAGTCCAAAAAAAGCTACAAGTTGATGAGAATGGAAAGAAGAAGAAAAGGATTTGTTGCCAAAGTTGGTAACTTAAACCCGTTTTGGTAATCTGGTTGTATCTCTCTCCTCGAGTGTCAAAACGGCTAAATTCTTGTGTTAGTTGATAGGAAATTCGAAGAGCTACAATTTTGTGTTTCAGGAGCTTTCCCTAAAACAGCTGTTTACCTTGTCAAAATTGGCCTAGAAGTCTGCACGAATTTTGGGAGTCCTTATTCGACAGAATTCCTATGTATGTCTCCTATATGAAAAAGGGAACTATGGGGCTGATATTTTATTATTTAAAGGGGGTCCTCTACAACAGTGGATGATACAGAGGAGCTTGAGGCTGAGATCAGAAAGGAGAAGTATTCAGAAGAAAGAAGAGATCGATCCATGGCAGTGAAGATGTCTTCCTCAACTATGAAGAATTCCACCCCAGTCATGCTTGGCTAAACACTTCGCTAAGGTTGTGATGTAGCCCTAGCTTAGCACCCTGGTTTGATTGTATTTAATTATTGGAGAATAATTTCTATCATGCATGATTGTGTAATCTATAGGGTTTTTAATTGAATTTTCAATAAGAATCGGTTTTAGAGTTCTAATTCAATTACAAATATTTTTCTATCTTGTCTTAGATATTTTGATCTTGTGATTGAACACAACTCATTCGCTTTTTGTAGTTGTGAATGAGATGATTACACAATGGTATTTCTCTGAATTTAATGTTAGAGATTTGATGGATTATGCCTAGAAAAGATAGATTATGCTACACCATAAAGTAAAGTAGATAGGTAGATGGTTTATACCAATCGAAAATAGTCCATACTTAGCTTTGAATTATATTATTTTCTAGTTGAATTAATATATGCTTGTAGCCATGATTAATTCTCTATGCGTGTTATATGATATATCTCCAATAAATTGATGCAATTAACTGGTGGTGCGACGTTAGTGGTGAAGTCATACCCCTAGTCCTCTCTCTCTATTTTCTACATCATATTTAATCATTGTTCTTTAGTTTATTTTATTTTTCTACTTAGTTAATTTAGAATTAATCATCACAATTCGATTATCCTACTTTCAAGTTAATTTTGGAATTTAAGAAATCTGTTGACAAACTTAATTTACACAAGTCCCTTAGGTACGACACCCTTACAAGTAAATCCTATCTGCAAAGATTCGTGCACTTGCGAGTGGTACATATAAATCTCACAACAAGTTTTTGGCGCCGTTGCCGGGGACTTGTTTTAGTTCTTGATAGATAATATTAAATTCTACAATTAATTTCAATTAGGATCTTAGTTTAGGATTTTATTTTATTTTTTTTATTTTATTTTGATACTGTTTTCTTTCAATCATTGCAGGTGACATTATATGCTTGGAAGACGTTCTTTGTCACTCCCTCAGCTTCCGTTAGACCCAGAAATTGAAAGAACTCTCAAAAACTTGAAGAAAGAAAAGATGGCGGATAATTTATCAATTGCAGAAGCAGTTCGCTGTTTAAAGGATCACTACGAACCAGGTGCATACAACTCTTTATCTGCAGTTCGATATCCTCAAGTGAGAGCCCCTCACTATGAAATTAAAGCCAGTACTCTTCAGTTACTGCCTTCTTTGTACGGCCTATCAAAAGAGGATCCATACCGGCATTTGGATGACTTTGCAGAGGTGTGTAGAACAATAAAAATCCAGAGTTTTGACGATGATATGCTCAAGCTACACCTTTTCTCCTTTTCATTAAAGGACAAGGCGAAGGACTGGTTTAATTCATTGCCAGCCGACACCATCACTATATGGGCTGAATTGTAACAAAAGTTTTTAAACAAGTACTTTCCCATGGTGAGAACTACTCAATATCGAGATGCTATTACTCATTTTGCTCAAGGGCCTGACGAGCCTTTTCATGAAGCTTGGGAAAGATTCAGATACCTCCTTCGGAAGTGTCCTTATTATGACATGCCAAAATGGCAGCTTGTGAACTTCTTTCATAAGGGGCTCAATGAGGCACAAAGGTATATGGTGAATGCCTCTTGTGGTGGAAATTTTATGTTGAAAAGTGTAGAGGAAGCATGGCAGCTCTTCGAAAATATATCTGATAATTCTACACAACATGTCTTACCTCCAGTAGCAAGACCTCCTACCATATTGAGGAGAGCAGAATATGTGAATGAAGTAGGGATAAATCAAGGGCTAGTGAGCCAAATTGAGGCATTAACCAAGAAGGTTGATTAATTGATGACTTCACAGTCAAATTTTATTCCTCCTGTGACTAATGTTCAAGGCTTTGAAGTGTGTTCTTTCTATTCCAGTCCAACTCACCATGTGTCCATTTGTCCAAGTGCATCTCAATATTAAAAAATTCCACAAGAGCAAGTTAATGCTACATATGGAAGGCCCGGAGGGAATAATATGTATTCAAACACTTACAATCCGACTTGGAGAAACCATCCTAACTTCTCATGGAGAAATCTAGCCACAGGGACATCAGCTCTTCCACCTCAAGTGCCTCAAGTGCAAGGCAATTTTCAATCTCCAATTCAAACTTCAAATCCTCAAGGATTCACTCCTATGAATGCATTCAGTCAACCTCCAGATGGCAATGATGGCAAAGCAGTTAGAGCCAACTAATCAACTTGTGCAGTCTCATTCTCAATCCCTTGCCAAGTTAGAGACTCAAGTTGGCCAACTAGCTCAAGCCTTGAACAGAAGAGAGGATGGCAAGCTTCCTAGTCAACCAGTTGCTAATCCAAGAGGTGTGCGTATAATTGATGACATTACTGGCTAATAAGTTCACCATGAACTAGTGCAATCAATTACTACTCTGAGAAGTGGTAAGAGAGTTGAAAATAAGGTAGAAGAAGAGGAAGCAAAGAAGGATGAAAATTGGAAGAATAGACTTGAAGAGAAAAATGAGCGGAATGAAAAAGCACAAGAAATACCTCCAACTACTGAGCCATCTCCAGAACAAAGGCATGTTGTTGTGCCATTCCCTCAGAGACTACAAGAAACATCAAAGGCAGCAAAGCAAGCAAGTGAACTTCAGGACATAATGGAGATGTTCAAACAGGTGAAGATTAATCTCCCATTGCTTGATGCAATTCAGCAAATTCCAACTTACGCCAAATTTTTGAAAGATATGTGTACTCAGAAGAGGCATTCAAGTAGCCATATTCCTAAGAAGGTGTTATTAATTGAGCAAGTCGGTTCCATAATCCAGCATTGCACTGCTACAAAATTCAAAGATCCAAGCGCTCCAACAATTTCATGCACAATAGGGAATCATCAAATAGAGCGAGCTCTCTTAGATTTGGGTGCCAGTGTAAACCTTCTTCCTTATTCGATTTATTTGCAACTCGGATTAGGAGAATTAAAGTCTACCTCCATTATTCTCCAATTGGCAGATAGGTCAACTAAACAGCCTCGTGGTGTTATCGAAGATGTAATCATCAAAGTAGATAAATTCTACTTCCCAGTTGACTTTATTGTGCTAGATACCGAGCCCGTTCTGGAACCAAGGAGGCACATTTCTGTGATCCTTGGTCGTCCTTTCCTTGCAACAGCAAATGCGAGCATAAATTGTAGGACAGGCATCATGGGCGTATCTTTTGGTAATATGAAGGTGCGCTTAAATATTTTCAATGCCAGTCAATGCCCTTCAGATAATAATGATTTTTTTCTAGTCGATGCCATCGATGAATGTGTTGAAAAGATGACCCCATTTGTATTGACAAAAGATCCACTGGAAGCATGTCTATCTTACTTTGATGCCGAGTCATTTGATGTTGAGAAAAGTATTGAAGAGGTGAATGCCCTGCTTGATGTAGCGAGTATACATAACACTCCACCATGGAAGATTCCTATTGAGCCACTTCCACAATTGTCAAGTAAACCACCTATACCATCTTTGGAGTGTCCGCCAGAGCTAGAACTGAAGCAGTTACCCTCTCATATGAAATATGCATTTCTTGGGCCAGAAAGTACTCTTCTAGTAATTATTTCAGCAAAGCTATCAGACGTACAAGAAGAGAAATTATTAGAAGTACTAGCCAACCATCAAGAAGCTATTGGCTGGAGTGTGGCTGATCTCAAAGGGATTGATCCCTTAGTATGTATGCATCGGATTTTCTTAGAAGAAGATTCTAAACCTTCGCGAAAAGTATAAAGAAGGTTAAATCCAAATATGAAAGAGGTGGTGAAAAAAGAAGTAGTCAAGTTACTTGATGCAGGCATTATTTACCCAATTTCAGACAGTCAATGGGTGAGCCCGATTCAAGTGGTTCCAAAGAAATCTGGGATCACTATGGTGAAAAATTCTGGAGGTACTTTACTTCCCCAACGCATTACTACAGGTTGGCGAGTGTGCATAGATTACTGCAAATTGAATTCCAAGACACGAAAGGATTACTTTCCTCTCCCTTTTATTGATCAAATATTGGAGAAACTGGCTGGGAAGAAATATTATTGCTTCTTGGATGGGTATTCTTGAAACAATCAAGTTGCCATTCATCCTGACGATCAGGAGAAGACAACTTTCACCTGTCCATATGGTACTTTTGCTTATCGCCGTATGCCTTTCGGACTCTGTAATGCACCAGCCACTTTTCAGAGATGCATGATGGCTATTTTCTCTGATATGATTGAAAATTTTCTAAAAGTCTTCATGGATAACTTCTCGATGTTTGGGTCTTCATTCGATAATTGCCTGGAGAATTTAGTGCTTGTTCTTCAACGATGTAAAGAGAAGAATCTAATCTTAAGTTGGGAGAAAAGTCACTTTATGGTGCAAGAAGGAATTGTCCTTGGCCATATAATATCCAAGAGAGGAATTGAAGTAGATAAAGCTAAGGTCGATCTTATCTCTAATATTCCTCCCCTATCATCGATGAGACAAGTGCGATTATTCCTCGGCCATGCAGGATTTTACAAATGTTTTATCAAAGACTTCAGTAAACTCTCAAGGCCATTATGCAATTTATTGGGAAAGGATGTTCCTTTTTCACTTTTATGAAAGTGTCTAAAGGCATTTGAGCAACTTCGCTCTTTACTATCTTCTGCACCCATAATGCAGGCTCCAGATTGGTCTCTTCCTTTTGAGATTATATGTGATGCATCAGACTATGCAGTTGGCGCCATCTTGGGTCAGAGAATGGAGAAATTGCCAAAAGTAATTTATTATGCAAGCAAGATCTTAATAGAGGCACAATTGAACTATACCACTACTGAAAAGGAATTATTGGCAGTGGTCTTTGCTTTTGACAAGTTTCGCTCTTATTTGTTGGGTTCCAAAGTTATTGTGTTTTCTGATCATGCAGCTCTTCGACATTTACTCAACAAAAAGGACACCAAGCCAAGGTTAATTAGGTGGATTCTATTGCTACAAGAATTCGACCTAGAAATCAAAGACAAGAAGGGTTCGAAAAATGTGGTGGCAGACCACTTATCCAGAATTTTAGTGGATTCATCATTGTACTCTTCCATTACATGATTCATTCCTAGATGAACAGTTATTTCAACTTCAGAAGGAGAATCCACCATAGTATGCTGATATTGTAAACTGGAAGGCATCCAGAAGAATTCCATCTAATTGGACCAAACATGAGAAAGATAGGTTCTTCTCTCAAGTGAAATATTACCATTGGGAGGATCCACAGTTATATAAGTACTGCTCGGATCAAATTATTCGTCGTTGTGTACCAGATAATGAAATTCCCAATGTTCTGAAATTTTGTCACACACTTACTTATGGTGGCCATTTCAGTGGGAAGAAGACAGCAGCAAAGATTCTTCATAGTGGTCTAACTTGGCCTTCCTTGTTCAAAGATGCTCATAAATTTGCCAAGGCCTGTGATCGATGTCAACAGTTGGGTACCATTACAAAAAGAGACATGATGCCTCTCTCCTCAATTCTGGTTATTGAAATTTTTTATGTCTGGGGCATTGATTTCATGGGGCCATTCCCTATGTCACATGGCAAGGAGTATATTTTGGTAGGGGTGGATTACGTCTCCAAGTGGGTATAAGCAGTGGCAACAACGACTAGTGACCACAAGGTGGTGGTTGAATTTCTTCAAAACAACATTTTTAGTCGGTTCGGAATGCCAAGGGCAGTAATCAGCGATGGTGGAAAGCATTTTTGTAATCGCTTTCTTCGAATCTTAATTCAGAAATATTCCATCTCTCACAAGGTAGGTACTTCTTACCACCCTCAGACAAGCGGTCAAGTAGAGATTTCAAATCGCGAGATCAAACATATCCTTAAGAAGACGGTTTAACCGGATCGAAAGGATTGGTCATTGCGTCTCAATAATGCTTTATGGGCGTATCGTACAGCATTCAAGACACCAATTGGGATGTTGCCATATCGCTTGGTATTCGGGAAAGCATGTCATTTACCTGTGGAATTGGAACATAAAGCTTTTTGGGCCGTGAAAAAATTGAACTTTGACATGAGTCAAGCTGGGGCCAAGAGGAGGTTGCAGTTAAGTGAGTTAGAAGAACTTCGCAATGATGCTTACGAAAGTGCAAGAATTTACAAAGCTAGAACCAAGGCGTGTCATGATAAGCACATTGTGAGAAAATCTTTCAAGCCAGGTAACAAAGTCTGGTTGTTCAACTCCAAGCTGAAGCTATTTCCAGGGAAATTGCGCTCAAGATGGGATGGTCCATACCAAGTTCAGGGCTATCACTATTTTTGACCCAAAGAAAGGCAAGACACTACAAGTAAATCGTCAGAGATTGAAGTTGTACATTGAAGATTCTGTGCCTAAAGAAGGAGTTGAATCCGTCACTTTGACGGATCCCATTTACTCCACTTAATCATCCAGGTATCACGTCGCCTACTGACGTTAAATGTAGGAAGTGTAGATAAGATTTTTATTTTTATTTTTTGTTTTTTTATTTATTTATTTTTTTTCTTTCTCTCCTTGATTTTATCTTTTGTTTTAGTAGATTAGAAGGATTTAATTTGTTTTGTAGTGCTTTTAGTTACTTGTGCAGGTTTACAAGTCATGCTTGTTTTGAAGAAAAAAAATTCCATGGCATTCAGAAGAAAAAAGGGATGATCGGAGCAAATGGAGCATTTTTTGGGTCCAAACATCAACCAAACCACCTACGGCTATTTGCACCACGTAGATCTTGAAAAAAATACCCAAAATGAAAAAAAAATGCGTCCAAAACGGACCTCCGATGCCAAAGTTATGGCCATTTGAAGTTTGCTTCCTAAAATTATATATATATATATATATATATATATATATATATATCAGCAGCAGGTCCGGGCGAATGATCGCCGGACCTATGGGCGACCATCGCCCGGATGGAATTTTCGGGGCAGCTAGAAAATGGTCCGGGCGATCGATCGCCCGGCCCATGGGCGACCATCGCCCGGTGGCGAGAAAAAGGAAGCGAGAAGCAAGTCTGGGCGATCGATCGCCCGGCCCATGGGCGACCGTCTCCCGGGTTATTTTTACAGGTAAAAAAAAAAAGAAAAAAAAAAAAAGAAAAAGCAAAAACAAAGAATCTGTCGGCGGCTTCTCAATTCTCTCTCCCACTTTACAGGTTATATATTTATATATATACAAACACAGTTCCATACATCCATCCTACTGCCCATCATCACCAATTACAAAAGTCATCATCTTACTGCCCATTATCCAAACCTCATTCCATTACTCAATTCCAAAATAAATCCATATACCCGAATTCATCCGACACCATCTTTCCTACCCACATTAGAAATTCTTACCCTTACCCAAAATCCTTTCTTTCTTATACATTCTCCTATATATATATATATATATATGATAAGCGCCGAATATTGCATATTCATTTGCCCTTATTTGCATTAGTTAAGTCAATTATTTGATTATTTTATATAGATTAGTTTCATTTGCATGCTTTTGTTTATTTTCAGGTTGGTTCCCCAAAGAGAGTTAAAAGAGATGCTTTGACGAGTTCTTAAAGAATTAAAGCACGCCGTTGCCAGGGACCTTCATTTTGGCCAAGATTAATGATCAATGGGACTCATGACGCTCTATACAAAAAGTTTTAGGAAGAATTGCTGCGTCTTCGGGCTGAGCCAAATCATTTCAGGTTGCAAGTAGCAAATTGGTGCAAGGCTGTAACAGCGCGGGCGCTGGTTCATTTTCCATCAGACTTTGGCCTCCAATTCTGACCCTTTGTACATGCGAATTTGGTCTTTAGTAAAACATGAAATATGAAGGGCTATGAGTCAGCTTTCCATAGACATAAAGTTTGACTCATTTGGAGTTTGGAGCAAAGAGTTATGTCATTTTTACCAAAGGTGAGCAGAACAGCCTGGCAGCAGTGAAGTTTGACTTTGCTCTTCATTTTAGACCCACTAAACTTGAGAACTGGACTTCCATTAAAACATGGCATACTTAGAGCTTTGAATTAGCTTTCCAAATCTTCAAACGGTTCATTATTTGGAGTTCGGAGTAGAAAGTTATGGCCATTTTACCAAAGTATCTTAAAGCTGAGTAAGTTGACTTCGAGCGCTCGAAGTGCTTAGTTCGAGCGCTCGAACTATGGGCAGAATACTCTCCGGGAACCGTCACTTCAGCCCACTTGCACCTTGTTTCCCTCATTTTCTGATTTCCATCTTTATGGGGTGGTTGGAGATATCTTTTGGTGGGAGTTGAGCCTTGTTTGGTGGAGAAGATGTCTACACAAAGGAGGGGAACCACACAAACAAGAGGATATCTCATCTTTGCAAGATTTGTGGAGAGAGAAATGGGAGGAAAAAGATAGAGTTCTTGAAGCCAAGGAAAGGGAGCTCGAAAATGGAGGTTGCAACCAAGCTTCTTCCTTCTTCTAAAGCTTCCATGGGTAACTAAACCTCCATCTAGGGAGGTGATGAGGCCCCTCCCTTGTAAGCATGTTCTAATTTAGGCTATACTTTGGGGATTACAATGTATATTCTTTGGTCTTTTCATGGTCTAGAGCATTTTGCCTTTTGTAATGGATCTTCATGTATTCAAATGATTAATGTTGAGTCAATTATCTATCTTTGATGGTTTATTCTTTTAATCATGTTGCTTGCACTCTCATGGTGACAATGGTAGTGAGATCATGGAATTGTTTTAATGGCATGGAGTTGGAGGACTTTGATAGATCATTGCTTAGGTGAAACCTTTGATGATTTATGCTTATTTCTTACCTTCATGTGCTTTATCATTTTATCTAGGGCTTGATAGTCTTTCATTCAAGTAAATGTGGTTAAGCTACACCTTAGTTAGGTAGTCTAAACATGTTAACCTTTGATGGATTATGCTTGCTTCAGATTTAATGAACTTCTTGAGGATATTATAGCAAACAAGTGTTGCTATGTATCATGACCATAGTATATATTGTTTTTCCCCCAATTTAGCTCTAATCTAGCATGTGAATAGGGATGGAGGCGGATTCACTTCCCTAGTCCTCTTTACTTGTATTTCATCTCCTTTAAATTCTTGCAAGCTTTTATTTGATGCACTTTAATTTCATAGCTTAAGTGACAACCAACAAATCCTCTATGAACACCTCTATCATTCTAAAAAGACTTTAGACACTTAGGTTGCCATAGATTAGCGTAGTCCCAGTGGTTCGACTTACCCGACCAATAGCCCTATTTTACAATGATTCGTGCTATTGCGAAGTTTGATTTATATATATATATATATATATTCCTTATCATCCCTAAACCAATTCCATTCAGTGATTATCAAAATTGCTTGCACTTATTTGGAGAAGAAATCAAAGTTTTCAAGGTAAGAATTTGGGACTGCCCGCCAAGTGTTCGACAAAAGGCTTCCAAGAATTCGTTTTTCCTTTTACATGGCTTCCAGAAAGAAGAAAGGCACACAAAGCGGTGTTTCAACAAGCCGCTCCATTCAATCTTCCACGAGGGGGCTAACTCTTCGAGATACCATAGATGAAAGGTGGCATGGTCGCAAACTTAATTATGAAGTGGGTTTTGACATCAAATTTCTTAATGCATGCGTTCCAGAAACTCAGTGGCCCATTGCAGATTTACGACACCGGCAAGCTGAATGCCTTTTTGAGCCGGCTAGTAAACTCATGTACCCCAGATTAGTCAAGGTGTTTTACCAAAATTTTCATTCCAATCCAGATGAACGGGGAGCACTAGTGTCATCCGTTGATGGTATAATAATTCGCATTACTCCTTCGACAATTGCCATGGCTTTGGGATGTTCACATCAATGCCCGACTGATTTGGAGTCAATGTTCACTCCGATGTCAGACGTCCCCACTAGACTAATGATTAGTCACCTTGCTGCAAATTATTTCTCTGGCTCCAAATATAATTTTACTGCCAAATCGTCTTTGCCATTACACTTATGGTTCGTCGATGCCGTACTTTTACACAATGTGTGTCCGCTTACTCATCAATCTGAGCGTCGTCAAGATTTTCTGCGTTCTTTATATGGCATCTATTTTGGCCATTGGCTATCTTTTCCAGAACTCATCTTTGGGCAGCTTAAAAAATTTTATGATTTGGTGATCAAGCAAACTCCGAAAAAAGAAAAAGATTGGAAGTTTCCTTTGCCATTCTTTATTATTCAACTGCTCACTTCCCAGGGCTACACTATTGCTACCGATGAGTTCTCTTCTGTGCACAATGATCGCTATAGAGAGGTTGATTGGAATCACAACCGATCTCATATGACATTAAAGGTGGTTGCCAGACCTGGAGAACCGACTCGCCCAATTATGTAGGGTGAGCAAGTTTTGCCTATTCATCCAAGTCAATTGGCTACTAGACAGGTCATCGACAATGAGTCTGCTGATGAACCCCATGATGAGCCTATGGAAGAGGCAGCCAGTGATGACGAGGATGACACTGATGAGCATCCCTATGACTATTTGGTTGGTGAGGTAACCCTGAAGTTCAAGAAATCCATCAGGGGCAGAGGACGATTCTTGAGGAACAACGGATGATTCATCAGGATCAAAGAACAATGATGGACATGATGCGTGCACTTATGATTCATAACGGGCTTAATCCCGATGCTCCACCGCCTCCATTTTAGCTATCCTGTTAAGTGCTTTTGTTCTTTGTTTTTATTTTCTGTTTAGTTCTTATTTTTCTTACTTTTGATTTTTGCCCAGTGAGGACACTGTCCAATTCCAATTTGGGGGCATAATGTCTACTTTAGTTGTATTACAATACTCTAGTACTTAAATTTAAAAAAAAAAATTTAATTCCTTTTCTTTGGCATATTGACTTTAATTCAAGTATTTGAGAATTGTTGGGGGGATTAAGACACTTAAGTACTTTTTAAAATTCTTTTCTGAGATCATCTTGAATCCTTAACTTTCGTGCTTTATTTTATGTGGGTTCCATTATCTAGTGTGATAGGAATTTTAGTAATTGTCGATCTCTGATGGATTTCACACGCACACTAGAATTTTATCTATGGGTATTTGTATTTTTTATTATATTTTGATGACTATGGATGGATATGAATTGGTGAACTTTGAAGGTTATTACTATGGTAGAGATATTGAAAAAAAAAAAAAAAAAAAAAAAAAAAAAAAAAAAAAAAAAAAAGTAGAAGAAAAAATATATATATTTCGTAACCCTTTCATGGAGTAATCGGGGCTCATGTCTTATATACATAGAGTGTTCACATGAAGAAATAGGGTAAGGATAAAGGAAAAAAAAAAAAAAAGA